ATTTTTTTTTTTTTGGTCGGGTTGTTGGTTTATATCATAGATGTACACTATAGGGGGTAACTCTATGGTTTATATACACCGTGTACCGTACAGAGTCGAACCTGCCATGGCGGCCACCTGTTCAAACAGCCATGTTACATTTCCCCTGTTGCGTTTTCTTTTTTCTTCTGTAGGCTATTATTACATGTATTTAATTGATGTTTTTTTTTTATTAAATATCATTAAAACCCCCCAAAAACCCCCACTCTGTTTTCGGTTTTTTTCCCACGGGCCGGCAAAAAAAAGAAGGCCCCCATTTTAAAAGGGGGGGGGGGGTTGGAAAGGAGTGGCAGAGAAATGGTAGGGGGGGGAGGGGGCAATTACAGCGAATTATAATCGATTTCCAGGTTGAGAACCCTAGATATGGGGTGCATGGAAGCGGAACCAATAAATTGGCAAAAAAAAGGATATTAATCCGGAGAGGAAAAAGAGGCTAAAACAGCTCCTGGACATGGATGGCTGGTGCCTCTAAAAAGAAATCATTGATGGTCAAGGTCAAGGTCAAGGCTATAAAAGCCCAGGGTTGGTGATTTTTTAAATTTTTTAAAATAAAAATTTAAAAAATCGATTTTTAAAATTTAAATCAGATTTTAAAAAAATTAAATCGGATTTTTTAAAATAAAATTTTTTTTTTAAATGTCGACACAGTTTGGGATTTTTGGAGGCTAAAAGTAAGTTCTTTTAGTGCAAAATGCATTGTCTATATTTTAACTAATGATTAATTTAAGCAACTGCAATTTTAGAAAGCCTTAATCTGCTATATCAGTGAGTTATGGCTGCAAACAAAAAATGAAGAAAATGTCAGTCTAAAAGGAAGGGGGGGGGGGGGTAATTATGCATAGATAAACTTGCATTTTATTAAAGTGTGTGTGTGCACGCGCTTGTGTTTGTCTAAAAAGAAAAAGAAAATGCTAATTTCAGTTATGAAAAAAAAGTAAATTGAATACAGTATTATTTTACTACTTACAGTGACAGGGGGGAAGCAGACTTTTAAGCATGATTATTTTAGTCTAAACCTTTTATCTGTTTTATAAAACCAAGGAAAGGAATTCTGAATGTTTAAAGATGTAAAAACAGAATACATTTTTTAAAAGTGATTTAAATCACTGAGTTCTATTTTTAAAATCAAGTTGATTTAAATTTAAAAAATCAACTGATTTAAATCAACCTGATTTAAATCAATCCAACCCTGGTTTTCAACTATGAAAAAAAGTAAAGTGAGAACTGTATTATTTTACAGTGACTGGGGGGAAAGAAGACTTTTAAGCATGATTATATTAGTCTACTAAACCTTATATCGTTTAATAAAACCAAGGAAAGGAATTCTGAATGTTTAAATATGTAAAAACGGAATACATTAAAAAAAAAAGTGATTTAAATCATTGATTTTTATTTAAAAAATCAAGTTGATTAAAATTTAAAAAATCAACTGATTTAAATCAACCCAGCTCTGATTTCAATTATGGAAAAAAAAGTAAATTGAATACTGTATTATTTTACAGTGAAAGGGGGAAAAGCAGACTTTTAAGCATGATTATATTAGTCTACTAAACCTTATATATGTTTTATGAAACCAAGGAAAGGAATTCTGAATGTTGAAATGTGTAAAAACTGAATAAAAATAAATTTTTAAAAAAGTGATTTAAATCACTGATTTTTATTTAAAAAATCAAGTTGATTTAAATATAAAAAAAATCAACTAATTTAAATCAACTTGATTTAAATCAACCCAACCCTGTAAAGGCCCTGCTTTTAAAAATCAATAACTTAAATGCGGGGTGCCCATTGCGGACAGGATCGGGTTGGGTCGGGCCGGGGGCGGTCGCCCCACTCATCGCCTGAAAACAAATGCGTACTTTGTTTTTGAGTTTGAGGTGAGGAGTCGGGCGCGATCAGCTTGTGCCACGATAGTCGCTTTGCGCCCTCAATCTGGGAACAAAACCGCACCGACCAGACCCGATCCCCCTATGGCTATACGTTCTTATATTATCTCTGACCGTCTAGCCCTATGGGCACCCCGTATAAGAGAGAAGGTCAGTCGCTCTGTTTACCCAATTTGGTAACTATGAACGTCAACACGAACTTGCGAAAAAAAGGTAGCTCGTACGCTCAGTGGTGGCAACCATTTAATTTGTTTATTTTACCCCGCCAGCCGGTCTTCCTCGTCTGACACATTTTGTTCCCCCCCCCCCCCCCCTGCAAGCTCAGAATTTGTACAACTTGTCCATTTGGGTAAACATTAGGAGAGACCAACGCAACTTGATCGGTTCATCATTGGAGGGACAAACAGCAACGACAGGTGAATGGACAAGGACGGCTCGTCCACAGCATCGAGGGCTGATATTATAATTTATGACAAGGTGTTTTACGATGAGATACATTTGCGTGGCCATATTTTATTTTATTATTATTTTTTTTTTTTTGGTCGGGTTGTTGGTTTATATCATAGATGTACACTATAGGGGGTAACTCTATGGTTTATATACACCGTGTACCGTACAGAGTCGAACCTGCCATGGCGGCCACCTGTTCAAACAGCCATGTTACATTTCCCCTGTTGCGTTTTCTTTTTTCTTCTGTAGGCTATTATTACATGTATTTAATTGATGTATTTTTTTTTTATTAATTATCATTAAAACCCCCCAAAAACCCCCACTCTGTTTTCGGTTTTTTTCCCACGGGCCGGCAAAAAAAAGAAGGCCCCCATTTTAAAAGGGGGGGGGGGGTTGGAAAGGAGTGGCAGAGAAATGGTAGGGGGGGGAGGGGGCAATTACAGCGAATTATAATCGATTTCCAGGTTGAGAACCCTAGATATGGGGTGCATGGAAGCGGAACCAATAAATTGGCAAAAAAAAGGATATTAATCCGGAGAGGAAAAAGAGGCTAAAACAGCTCCTGGACATGGATGGCTGGTGCCTCTAAAAAGAAATCATTGATGGTCAAGGTCAAGGTCAAGGCTATAAAAGCCCAGGGTTGGTGATTTTTTAAATTTTTTAAAATAAAAATTTAAAAAATCGATTTTTAAAATTTAAATCAGATTTTAAAAAAATTAAATCGGATTTTTTAAAATAAAATTTTTTTTTTAAATGTCGACACAGTTTGGGATTTTTGGAGGCTAAAAGTAAGTTCTTTTAGTGCAAAATGCATTGTCTTTATTTTAACTAATGATTAATTTAAGCAACTGCAATTTTAGAAAGCCTTAATCTGCTATATCAGTGAGTTATGGCTGCAAACAAAAAATGAAGAAAATGTCAGTCTAAAAGGAAGGGGGGGGGGGGGTAATTATGCATAGATAAACTTGCATTTTATTAAAGTGTGTGTGTGCACGCGCTTGTGTTTGTCTAAAAAGAAAAAGAAAATGCTAATTTCAGTTATGAAAAAAAAGTAAATTGAATACAGTATTATTTTACTACTTACAGTGACAGGGGGGAAGCAGACTTTTAAGCATGATTATTTTAGTCTAAACCTTTTATCTGTTTTATAAAACCAAGGAAAGGAATTCTGAATGTTTAAAGATGTAAAAACAGAATACATTTTTTAAAAGTGATTTAAATCACTGAGTTCTATTTTTAAAATCAAGTTGATTTAAATTTAAAAAATCAACTGATTTAAATCAACCTGATTTAAATCAATCCAACCCTGGTTTTCAACTATGAAAAAAAGTAAAGTGAGAACTGTATTATTTTACAGTGACTGGGGGGAAAGAAGACTTTTAAGCATGATTATATTAGTCTACTAAACCTTATATCGTTTAATAAAACCAAGGAAAGGAATTCTGAATGTTTAAATATGTAAAAACGGAATACATTAAAAAAAAAAGTGATTTAAATCATTGATTTTTATTTAAAAAATCAAGTTGATTAAAATTTAAAAAATCAACTGATTTAAATCAACCCAGCTCTGATTTCAATTATGGAAAAAAAAGTAAATTGAATACTGTATTATTTTACAGTGAAAGGGGGAAAAGCAGACTTTTAAGCATGATTATATTAGTCTACTAAACCTTATATATGTTTTATGAAACCAAGGAAAGGAATTCTGAATGTTGAAATGTGTAAAAACTGAATAAAAATAAATTTTTAAAAAAGTGATTTAAATCACTGATTTTTATTTAAAAAATCAAGTTGATTTAAATATAAAAAAAATCAACTAATTTAAATCAACTTGATTTAAATCAACCCAACCCTGTAAAGGCCCTGCTTTTAAAAATCAATAACTTAAATGCGGGGTGCCCATTGCGGACAGGATCGGGTTGGGTCGGGCCGGGGGCGGTCGCCCCACTCATCGCCTGAAAACAAATGCGTACTTTGTTTTTGAGTTTGAGGTGAGGAGTCGGGCGCGATCAGCTTGTGCCACGATAGTCGCTTTGCGCCCTCAATCTGGGAACAAAACCGCACCGACCAGACCCGATCCCCCTATGGCTATACGTTCTTATATTATCTCTGACCGTCTAGCCCTATGGGCACCCCGTATAAGAGAGAAGGTCAGTCGCTCTGTTTACCCAATTTGGTAACTATGAACGTCAACACGAACTTGCGAAAAAAAGGTAGCTCGTACGCTCAGTGGTGGCAACCATTTAATTTGTTTATTTTACCCCGCCAGCCGGTCTTCCTCGTCTGACACATTTTGTTTTGTTTTTATCCTTGCATAAAACAAGCAATTATTGTGTGTGTGTGTAGTGTGTGTATGTGAGAGAGAGAGAGAGAGAGAGAGAGAGAGAGAGAGAGAGAGAGAGAGAGAGAGAGAGAGAAAGAGAGAGAGAGAGAGAGAGAGAGAGAGAGAGAGAGAGAGAGAGAGAGAGAAAGAGAGAGAGTTTATTCTAAAAGAAAAGTTAATGTGTTGTACAGGTATAGTGGCTCTGTTTACCCAATTTGGTAACTATGAACGTCAACACGAACTTGCGAAAAAAAGGTAGCTCGTACGCTCAGTTGTGGCAACCATTTAATTTGTTTATTTTAATGGCAGTGTAGGGCTTTGTTTTCTATTATTCGAGGCAGGGAAAGTTTCAAAATGGAGACGAACCCAGACGAAATGAAAAAGAGTGGCTCTCGCTTTCAAGTAGCGAGGGTTGAAACGAAGGAAGAGCAAGTGCGAGAGAGTCAAAATGAAAATGAAGCAGCCGATCAACAAAATAATAAGCGACGACGCAAGTCAGAAGATTTGAGGAAGAAGTCAGTGGATTTACCGAGAATTGATACAAATATCCCCGACTCTGGTTCAGATGGAAAACACAGTAATGGGCCAGAATCTCCCAGTGCTACATTTTCTCTCAGTGGTGATTCAATTCGGAGCAGAAGTTCCATTGATGGATATAATAAAACTAACTGTGTTATGAATACAGTTGAAGCTTTGCCATGTGTGGATCATTACAGGAATATTTTTTCAGCAACTGGAGGTGGGAATTTACGAGCCAGACCAACACTCGCTGAGCTTCATGAAGAAATGGTAAACAGCTTTTCCTTGTTTAAAAAAAATCTGACTACTTTCCTAACTCTGAACCCTGTGCCAGATGCCTGTTCACACACTACCACCTCAACTCACTCACTGGCACTTTGCTACTACTCTCTCTCGTCCTACTGTAAGATTCTAATATCTAGATCTAACACTAACTTAAACTAATCTAGAGATCTAGATTTAGATTCTATCTCTATATTTGGATATTTGGATCTAGATTCTAGATCTTCTATACAACTCTGGGTTGTGTGGAGATTGTTTACAAAAGTACAAGTGTGTGTGTGTTTTGGGGGGGGGGGGGGGGGGTGACACTTTAGCTCTTAAAGTCTCTCTGCTCTGTGGAGGCTACAGAAAAATACATCTTTTTAACCCAACCAAGGCAAGGGCCTAGTAGCCTAATTTAATTTTTATATAATTTATAAAAAGATCCTATCATGAATGCTTACTAAGACAAGCCAAAGTTACTATAGACTATAGTATTCAAGGCTAAGAAGGGGGGAGGGGTGCAGTCTATTGATTCACCCACCACAATAAAATGGGAAGGTGCTTTACGTAGGAAGAATGTCATTAAATTTATATTTCTTATGAGTAGATCTAGATCTAGGTAATGCATACGTCTTTTTAGCTATTCTCCGGCGTCGGGGTATTACTGGTTGCTGTGTCATGCTACTCGGTGAATGTACAGAAGAAGAGTCTAATTTTTCTTGGAATATTTTGTGTCAGTCTTTCAAAATGACTTGCTTGTGGTATGTTTAACATAAAATTTGTCTGGGAACAAAAAACTAAATTTACTTCTTAACTGTGATACTGTGATACTCAGTGACCAAGTATGTTCTTGTGTTACACAATGTCACAAGTACTGACTGCACTTCTAACATACTACATACTATGTTCTTATTAATCTTTTGTCAGGGCTGCCAAATGTCTGTCTTTTTCTCTACAATCTCTGCTTCTCCTCGTTTGTTGGATTTGTTACTTCTTCATTTATGTACCATGCTGCTTGTGTGATTGTGTGTTAATTAAATATAAATGTGGCTTGGTTGGCCGGTTTGGTTGGCTCGTAGTGAAAAATGGGCAAATTGTTGTTTTTGTTTGCTTTTGTAAAGTGTTTTACGGCGCTCGCAACTGTATAAGGTCATATGAGCGCGCGGGACACATCTAATATCAGTCGGAAGGAAATTTTGAATTTTGCCCGGGTGGCGGCCGAAGCCTACTCTTATCGATTTTAGACCACCAAGGGATCTTTAATGTGCGCAACTTGCACACGGGCCCTCCGGGATTTTTCGCCCTTGTCCGAGAAGGCTAGGTGTAGATCTTTCCTACCAGAAGATCAGGGGTGTGGCAGAAAGACAGTAGCAGTAAGGATGAGCCAAGGAGTAGCAGTAGTAGAAAGGCTGCAGAAAGAGTCAGGAGCCCAGAGGAGGGGGCGAAGGAGGTGAGGGGGTGGGGGCAGAAAGTGGAAATGAAAGCAGACAACAGAACATTGCTAGAGAGCAGGAAAGGAGGTGAAAGGAGACAATTTTAGAGAAGAAAATTTTTCGGTCGCTACCCGGATTCGAACCCGGGACCTTTGAATGAGAGGCCAACCCCTTAACCTCTAGGCCACGAGAGCCCCCATATGGGCAAATTATTTGTGGTACACGTGCACAGTGTGTCCAGGAAAAGATCAGTGTATTGTGAAGTTACTTAACTAGTAAGAAAAAAACCCCAGGCCTTTTATTTAATTGTTAATTGATTCTTCATCCCTGTGAACACTACTGTATTTGCGATGTGTTTGTGATACACAATTGTTATGAAGTCATTTCCATGATGTTATATAGTAATAAGAATTGCACACCAAATTCTTATGTAAGCTTAAATTAGGAGCTAATTATGAGGGACTGCCCTACCCAGCTTTTGGAGAGACCATCTTAATTAACGGTTCAGGCAATTGGTGCCGGAGGGTGTACAGTAATTGGCGGTGTTTGAACTGGGCTCCGGGGGCCTGTTATTTCTCCTTAATTTAATTCCCCGAACGCCCGAATGTGACCCGTCCTGCCACACCACCCACACCACACTCGTGCTCGTTCATTTCAGCTCGGCAGTTTGCACTGACCTTGACACTTTGCCGAACGCAGAACAAGACGTCTCTCTCTGCGTCCGCGCACTGTACTAGGAAAGCCATTATTTTTACTTCTTTGTTTATTACATTGTGTATCTATATATTATTCACACCGCGACAAAGGAAGATACTAATTACATGCATTGTAGTTATAATTGTTTTAAGCCCCTAAACTTTTAACACTGTAGGGTAATAATTCATGGGGTGGGACCTTCCAATTTAGCGTCCATCTTCAAGAGGGCGGGTAAGTAAGCCCAGAACTTTAACATCCCCGAAGTATCTACATCCAAGAACGTCCCATTGGGATTCGAACTAGAGCCGACCACACAATAGCCCAGCATGATTGCAACCTAGCTAATGGTTCGCCTGAAATGGAAGTAAAATATTGGGAGAAGAAAAAAGGGGTAGAGATAAGGTGAGAACTGTATTATGTAACAAACAAGCCGGGGTGTGTATGTTCTAAGAGACTACTGAATGGAAACTTCTATTTTTCCCCGTTCTTTCTTTCTTTTCTTTTTTTTTTTTTTTAAAGACTACGAACAAAATGAGTACATTTGGATAAACACTTGAATCATTACCAGGGCACCCTGTCAGCCAGCCGCTGTCAAGTGGTTGTTTCCTTTTGCTGCGGAATTTGCGGTGTGCGATTAGGGTCTTCGGCGCGCGCGTGTGTGTGTGCGTGCGTGCGTGCTTCTGTCGTGCGTGCGTGCATGCGCGCTCATAGCTTAGGCATGTGTGGTGTCATTTGTGTTGGAAAACAAACAAACAACAAAAAATGCTTTTTTAGGTCTTAATGGTTGCTTTTGATTTAAGTGCGTGATCTGTGTTTTAGCTGCTTACGGATGCAAATTGTGCGCATACAGAATGGACCATTGTGAATACGTTATATCATTAGTGTAATATTATGGCCGTATATTGATGTATGATACATGTATTATTATAAAACTGTGAGAGGAGACTGCTTGACCCGTTGTACGACTTCCCTTTCCATCTTTCTCGAATTCTTTTTGCTTTTGCTTAGCTTTGCGTGTGCCCCCTGTGTGTATGTGTGTACATCACAATATATTATACTCTTAGCTGTGAAAAAACCCCCCAACCTAATTTATGTTTATGATAGCAAATAGATCAAGCAAAAAGTACAATACAATGCTTCTGTTACCCGACTACTTGGAGCTCATCACACTTGAGATGAAACAGGACACCTGTGAATGTGCGCCCGTGCAGACAGCTCGTTTAATTTAAATTTTACAGGGTTATTTTGAGCTACCGAATTGGTTGCGTGAAGCGTTAAAACATGCGGTCGCATCATCTGTCAGTTAATTAGTTAATGTTATGATACATTAGTTATCAGGCTTTTGGCCAATGCGTTCAATAAATGTTATCGTTGTCCATCTGAATGGGGCCACGCATGAAACAAAGTTGAACAAAGACATGCACACACACACACACAAACACACACACAAACACACACACACACACACACACACACACACACACACACACACACACACACACGCACACAACGCACGTACGCACACATCGAAACGCACAAATGCACTTTCATACACATGTACAGATCAAATGACAAAAGATCAGATCAAAACAGGGGTGGGGTGGGGGTGTTAAAAATGAACGGTTTAGTAAATGCTGTGAGATTTAGCTCTCTGTGTCCTGCGTCTTGCTCTGTCCATGTCCTACAAGACTTGTTCATTGACCTCCTCCCCCCCACCGGCATCTGCTGGTCCATACCCACGCTCATTTAATTACAGCCACAATAGCTCTCCACTGGCTCACGACGATTGCTGCCTGTGGAGGAAGAAGCTTGTCCGTCTTCTGAATAAGGAGAAGGACAGACGTTTCTGGGGACGATAGCTATTGGGCTGCCATGTTATGTTGCATGAAGTATTTTTGCCGTTCGGGAAAATGTTACTTTGAGTATCAAATAATGGACTTTGGTTGCGCTCCAAAATCATGAAGTTCTCTTAGAACCTCGATCTCCATCGATGAAATGCTAGTTGTGAAAATTTGTTGGTGAAAAGACGACCACTTTGTTTCAGTATGCAGCGGTTTGTTACGCCTGATTCACCGTTTCCCGCAATATACATGATGTATTTGCTGCTGCTTCATTCCCTTTCCCTTCTATGAGCCAACTTATTCGGGAACTAGGCATTATTGCACTGGATTCGATTTTTGTGAAAATTGAGATGGTCCACGCTGGTGGGCATTAGAAGGCATAATTGAGTGTTCTGGTTTTGATGTTGTATCCTCATTTACTTCTTTCTCAAAGTATGCCGTAATAAATAAACATTCTAGTACTAATTGTAGTTACATCACTCCTAAAGTAAGATTATTGTGTCAGAAAAAGCTGCTGGTAGATGTCCCTGTGAAAGTAGGCCCGAATGAGAACTACAGCGTGGAGCAAGGCGGGTAGTGTCTATGAGGCAGATGATTGGCTCGGCGGAGCGTTCACTGTACTCCCCAGTCTTGATTAGGTCTCCGGAAGCAGTCGGCCGTCATGCTTAAGACCAGCAGGAAATATTTTACAGTGGTGGAAGTCTGGGTGAATAAGAAAGTTGTAAAGGGGAAAGTGTACGTGTCTCTCGCTGTGCGTGCGTGTGCGCTTTCTGTTTTTCGTCCTTGTGTCCCTCTCTATGTTTTCGTCCTCTTTAATTCAAACCAACTATGTATGATTATCATTACCGGACCCTAAGGCAGTTATGAAATCGAGAAGCCTTTGGTAATATTCGGCGATGCACATTGTGAGTTGCAATCGAACGAGAAGAAGAAAGAAAGGGTGTCTATTCCCCTGCTAGTTATCGTATAGGATATTATTATATTGGCTAACTCCGTTGGGTGTAGAGTCCCATCTACCATTAGAGCATCCTCATATA